AACGTTTACAAAAATGCGATAGTGTATTTATCGTTGTTTTGTCACATTAAAGTAACTTCGTTCTGTACTTTTGTGTTGGCGGTTTGCTCACGTAACCTGCTTCTTTTGCTCACCTTCAGGACTCTTCACTTCTGTTGTCGTCCGCTTCATCTTTTTCAGACGTAGCCTATATTCATAAACTCTTTAGTAGCCTACTCGAATTTGTATCTTCAAGTGTTCTTTTTTCTTTCATTTAGTGTCATCCAGTGTTGCCAACTTATTTTCAGGTAGCTAAAGTTGCTAAAGGTTGCTAAATGATGTTGTGACATCACTGAATGATGATGTCATTATGAAACCATGACGCAAAACTGCGTCACTGCGTAGAATGCTTATTGAAATTGCTCAAATCTCAGCAAAGAATATAATTTGAAATATGTTCATTTATATTTGTTCGTAAAAATAATATAAACATCTAATATATATTATTTGTAAATATAAACATTTTATTACATATTTTTATTTTTAAATACAACATTGAATTATTGAAAAGTGACATTTTTTAACAATTACATTTTATGAATTTTCCAAATAGCTAGTTAAACTACACATTATTAACAACTGTAGTTTTAGGCAGTGTACTGGTAGTAAGTTAAATGCTGCACTCTAAGGAAAGTCCTTAAAACAGGGCACAGTGTACTGTGTTAATATGAAGGAATTTTCTTTATTTGTTTTTACCAGCATTTCACCTTTATTTTAAATTACACTTACAATTATTATTGTATCTGCATTTTGATAGATACAGTGGATAGATAGACAGACAGAACTGCAATTTATTTAGTAATTTATTTATTTACACCTAATGTTAGTAATGTGATTATGTATTATTGTGGCATTGAACTAGAGAACTTCATCAAATGTTACTCACCCAATATACCACTAGGTGGCGGCAGAACTTTGTGTTTTCCCCCTTTTTCAGAACTTGGATGCATGGATTTATTGCTCCAAGTGCGTGCTGGTGAATATACAAAATATAGGCCTATGAAATAATAATATGAATATGAATAAAATCATATATGAAAAATAAGATCATCTGATCATCATATTAGTTGATGGATCAGAATCACAAATATTAGAAGTCGTTTGGACGATGTTTACGGTGTTTTTTCATAAACTCGAATGAAAGTAATGGAGGATACTTGAAACATTCATTATGCTATTTATAGGAGAGGCCATTTCTCTAAATTCATCTCCATTAAACAGACGTTTTAATTTTCATTAGAGGGTGAATACTTTGGGCCCATTGTTAGAGCTCTCAATTTTCCAGTCTTTGCACAGTATGTCACATTTCAGGGTTCAAACTGTATGTGTGTGTGAGCATATCCACTGCTTTCCACATTACTCATGTGCGCCAGTGTGCCAGAGTTTGTGTGTTTAAAGATATTTCCTGGCATTGCAGATCATTGCAGGACATTTCCCCCATTCCAAAGGAAATGAGAGTTCCTGCAGCTAAGAAGGATACGCTTTTATCATGAAAGACAAACAGATAACGTCAGTTTTTGATCATCCCCAACTATTTTCAATAATCTCAAATATAAACTGGGTTTAAAAACGCTATGTTAGGCTACTTAACAGAGCAAACATCCACACTGACATATCATGATAAGCACTCACAGATTCCCTCTGGAACAGCACGTGGAGCCATTTCTTATCTCTAGGTGGTGCTAGTAAGAATATCAGGACTAAAATACCCTGACTGTAAAACTGAGTACTCCTCAGATCATTGCCTTTTTTACATAAAGAGTTTTAAAATATGGCATTTCTGGAACAAAACTTGCAGAGTATGTGTATTTATAACCTATGTGCGTGTGTGCATGGTTCAGGGCAAGCACTGTAAAATCACATGCCCTTATTTGTGCCTGTGTTTGGCAGCAAGACTGTGGTTAGTCCTTTGATGTTGATGTTCTCAGGAGTTGTAGGCACCAGTAAAGAGCAAGTTTATGTAAGCACAGCTTCCTCAAACAGTGGGAATCCGAGCAGGGTACAACCTCCAATTCACTTACACAAACACCAGATATCAAGTGCACGCAAAGGTTTTGAGGCAAAAGGTGTTTTAAGATTAATTCAAAAACATTTCATTTAAACCAGGACAAACGGTATACTAGCTTAGAGAAAAACATAGAACAAATGTTGTATGTGAAATGAAACACATGTTGAAATAGAAATATTCTATATAAAAATTAGAAACATTTAAAGGAATACTCCACCCCAAAATGAAAATGTTGTCATTAATCACTTACCCCCATGTCGTTCCAAACCCCTAAAAGCTTTGTTCGTCTTCGGAATACAATTTAAGATATTTTGGATGAAAACCGGGAGGCTTGTGACTGTCCGACTGACTGCCAAGTAAATTACACTGTCAAGGTCCAGAAAAGTATGAAAGACATCGTCAGAATAGTCCATCTGCCATCAGTGGTTCAACCGTAACATTATGAAGTGACGAGAATACTTTTTGTATGCGAAGAAAACAAAAATAACGACTTTATTCAACAATTCGTCTCCTCTGTGTCTCTCCGCATTACCGTAGCGTCATTTTGGAGAATAACCACTGAACGCAAGCAGCGTATGCTATTCTGTGTCAGCCGCGACACAAGGATACGTTTTCTATGTGTATTTACGCTTTGATTTGAACGAAAACAGCACATCTGTGCAGCGCGGCTGACACAGAAGAGCATACGCTGCTTGCGTTCAGTTGTTATTCTCCAAAATGGCGCTACGGTGATGAGTTACTAAACATTACTAAACGGCGACAGACATTACTAAATTCATGTCAATTTTTATGTGAAACAAAAAAATTATTTGACCAAAAATTTAAATAAAATGGTTTTTTTATTTTTTTTTTCACTTGTGTGCATAGTTTCCTCCATGGGAGAGACACATGATGTGAATCAACTAACCTAGTTTTTTTTTTTCATTATTATTAATACAATGATAAATGTAAACAATAGCTGGATGAAAAGTAAGGCCCAGAGTGCAGATCTCACCGCACTTTGATGGCCTTGTGCACGCTATTCTGGGCAGCCATTTTGAGAGCAAAACTCCTAGGAAAACACCCAAGGCTGTGTGAGCATTGTTTCCTCAGGCCCAAGAGTTCACACCCACACATACACAAAAATACAAACGCATGAAACCCAAAATGCACACGCTAGTAGAAAAAAAGCAAGTCTTGTTCACAGAGGCTGAAACGCATTGTCCCATTTTCTCAGGCGCACACAAATAACTGGAGATACGAATACATTGTCTCGTCAGGGTCACAGAGAAACAGATACCGGAAGAGAGGGGTCGCAAAAGATCGGCGCACTCTTGTGCATGCAAACACGCACACGTAAATGTTGCTTTTAAATGGCAAGAGTGTTTATTTTAAAAAACTAATTACATTAATGGAAGTGTAACTCAATAATATAATCATAATGGCAAAATACTGACATTTTTCTTACAAAGACAAAGAAGGCCCTCATTATAAACTGTACAATCAAAAGGCCAACCGAGAAACAAAGCTGAGAAAACAAAATTCAGACAGACTGTTTGTTGCTTGGGGGAGAACAAGTCTGGTCACGATACGTTTAAAGACAATGCAAAAGATGAAGACAAATAATGGAAAACATTCACACACTCAATTGTCTGACATTCCAGTTGCTATTTCCTGTGCGGTAGGAAGAGGGCATGCCTTTGCTCAGGAAGTGGCGTAGACACACTGAGAGACCACTCTTGCTCCGCAGTCTGTGTAAACATGATTGTATGGCTAAGGCTTTCTCACTCTCCAAACTCCCCTGACATTTAGAAGAATAAAACTAAAACATACATCTTATCTGCTCCAAAACAGTCTGTTCCAAAACAATATATTACATTTATTTCAAAAAGCGAGTATGATAAAAGAAACAGTTAACAGTACAAATGAGTCAGTGGTTCCTTTACACATACAATTATGAAAGAAGTGATAATGGTGCACCTCAATCGAAGCTCGACAGCCAATTTATCAGTTTGTTGTTTTTGCAGTCATGCTGCAGTCATGTGGTTGCGATATTATGAGTAATGGCAGGAAAAACCTAATACGGGATGAAAAGTGAGAAGGTTGCTACTCATTTTAGGTAGGAAATTGCCCTTTGGCTGTTCTGTCATGCATGAGCATGAAAGGAAAGTTCACCAAAGAAAAATTAGTCATTTATGCACCTCCATGTTCTTCTAAACCTGTATGACTTTCTAAGAAACAACAAAAAAAGTTGTAATCTACCAGACAATGTAAGTGGATGGTGACCAATGGCTGACAAGCTCCAAAATGGAGCATCATAAAGCATCATAAAGAGCAGCTTGGACACTGTTTTATAAATACCTAATTTTGTGTTTAACAGAAGAAAGAAAGTCAAACAGGATTTAAAAAGACATGAGGGTGAGGAAACGATGTCCACATTGTAATTTTTGGCTGAACTATTACATTAAAGATAGTTGAAAAAGAACATTTTCAGTTTCGTCATTTACTCTCCCTCAAGTTTTTCCGAACTTGTATGAGTTTCTGGATGATATTTTGAATGTTGGTAAGCAAACTGCTGGCACCCATTGACTTCCATAGTATTTTTTTCTTCCATATTATGGACGTCAATGGCTACAGTCAGCTGTTTGGTTACCAACATTCTTCAGAATATCTTTTTTTATGTTCAGCAGAAGAAAGAAACTCACAGGTTTGGAACAATAACTATAAAGATAACGATATTAGCATCCACACCAGTAGACGATATCCTCTGTTTATTCTAAGCGCACCCGCGTCTGCCGCTTTAAATAGTAGGATTGATTCTGATTGGGTGTCATTGATTTTATCGTTCATCAGCTGAAAAAAAAAATCGTTCTGAAATTGATTCCAACGATATCGTTTCTCTGTGCCTTTATCGTTATAGCTGTGGTGTGAACTCTGCTATTCTTTAATGTTGAGAACGATTTTTAGAACTATATCTTTATTGTTATCTTTATAGTTATCGTCCTTGGTGTGAACGGGCCTTAAATGATGAAACTGAAATGTTCATTTTTGGCTGAACTACTACATTAAAGTTCTGAATAACATAAAGAGGAAGACTGTTTGAAGCGCTACAGATGTTAAACTGGAGGCGCACTATAACGGACCTCTGCACTGAACTTGTCATTTCTCTTGGGCAGTGGAGGTTTCATCCGAATGTCTCTCTTCAGGATCATCTCCTCGTTGGCGTATATGGGGGCTTCTGCATCATCAGAGTGGTAGCCGGACTGATAGCCGCTGGTCTGATTGGAGGATTCAGATGCTAAAGACTCCTTACTCTTGCATCGCAGTAGTGGGCTGCGGATAAAAGCATGGACGTGTTTATATGATTGTGCAACTGCCTTGGTTTGTAGCTCTGCTGAGATCAGGATGAATGTGTCACCTGAAATGAAGTGGTCTTTGCGCTTGCCGATCCAAAGCTTTCATTTGCTCACGTGACAAGCCCACGCCACAGTCCATGTGACCATTCTGTACAAAGAAAGAGCATTTCAAATTGACAAGTCAAAAATATATTTAAAAAAAATCTAAAAATAGATCTAAAATATTTATAAAAATTATAAAATATATAAAAAATATTTCATTTCCTGAATCAACTTGACTTTATTTAATTACACCAATCAAGATAATCTATATTAACTGCAGTTTCATTTTTTTGCAGTAAAAATGTCTAATTTCTGCTGAAAGTGTTTTTGGATCATGGTGAGATCCGAGTTGTAGTATTGTAGAGTTTATTTACCATTACAGCAGTGTGCTCCAGGGGAATGTCCACAAAAGTCGTCATACTTATTGGCAAACCGCAATTGTCGATCTGCTGTGGGAACCTGTCAGGAAAGGCATGGGTGGGACCATTGTTGCATTAGTTTGTCAAAGGAGAGGTTAAGCACGTTATTTCCACAAATGTCAGATCTTCAATGTTGTGTGAACATAATAAAAGTCAGATAACTGGGGTGGGGATAAGTATCAGTGCTTGCAAGGATATAAATAAATCTGATTCGTTTCAGTCAGTAATCAGATTGGAGTCAGTAATGCCAACAACTGCACACACACACACACACACACACACACACACACAACACCAGACAGATAAGTTACTGTAACTAACCCCAGAGGTGGAGCATTGTCATAGTGGAGCTGGGCCTCTTTGTTGCCTGCATTGAAAGCTATTTTCGACGTCACACTGAGGTGAGGAGCCCCTGATTCATCTTCCATCTCTCCATTTGTCAGAGGGATGTAGTCCTTTCCATCCTAAAACACGGGTAACAAATGATAGTTCAATTAAAAGATTTCAATTTTGTCACATTGAACCATGTTCCATTGCATGTTGCAAAAGTCACTTTATTCCTATTTTTGTCGATTTCCAATAAAAATATCTAACCATCCAAATTTACATGAGATGTGAATTTGCATAAGATCTTTTGATCTTACATCTAACTACATTTGATTTTTTTTTTTAAAGTTTAAAAACTGAAATATAGCAGAAATAAAGTAAAATCAACATATTAGATACACTTAAAAAAACATTAGTGAAAATTATCAATTTAACCTTGGCAAGTAACTGAAATAAATAACTTGGAGTACTAAAATTACTAAAACTAAAATAAAAATGTAAGGTGAATAGAAATACAAAAAACTGATATATTAAAATGACAAAAGACACAAAAAATAAAAAAATGAAAATATAAACAAAGCTAGTTCTAAATATTAAGAAATAATATAATAGTATCTATATAATATTAAAATAACACTGGTTTAGGCTTGGCAAAACAGGAGAAAACTATTTGCCAATGAAGTAAAGAAAATAATCATTCAAAATATAAATGGAAAAAAATAAAAGACATAATATATTAATTTACTATATTAAGTAAATGTATCTTATTTTAAGGTATTTTTAATTTAAAACAAGACAAAGTTATTATAGTTATTTATTTCGCTATGTATGTCTCAATTACTAAAAACACATGAATGAGACAAAACATATACTTGGAGTCAAGTCTAACCTGTTGAGCGCTAGCTTGTAGCAGATTGCCTAGATGCTCGACTAATTGAGTAAAGGTTGGCCTGTCTTTAGGTCGATCAAGCCAGCAGTCCAGCATGGTCTGGTATCTGGAAGAATTTCACAACAACGAGGAAGAGATGGGGTTGATTACATTTTCAGGACTCAGTCAGTTGAACAACTGCTTGTTTCCACAGACCTTCAATTTTATGGCAAGATTAAAAGAGTGAAGTATATTTACATCTCAGGTGTGGCATAGTCTGGAGCTCTCATTCTGGTTCCCTCCTTTAGTCGCCTGCAGAAAGACTCATCAATGCACACACCTGGGTATGGAGACGCACCTGCACCAAAGAAGATGGGCCATGAGGACGAGTCAGCCTATTATAGTAGGTTTATGCTGTCTAATAAGCTCAGTGTTCATGTTAATATCAAATATTGTGTTACCAAGTGAGAAGATCTCCCAGAGCAGCACACCAAATGACCAAACATCACTCTGTGTGGTGTACACGCGGTCAAAGATGGTCTCAGGAGCCATCCACTTGAGAGGAAGACGAGCCTGTGATGATAAAAAGGAAATGCTCAAGTATAAATGAGTCTATTTCGCTGAACAGCTGAAATCAAGTTGTCTGTGTAAGAGTCCTCACATCTCCTTTGCGGACGTAATCAGGGTCTTTATAAACGTCTCTGGCCAGCCCAAAGTCACATATCTTCACCACGTTGTTTTCAGAGAGTAGGATGTTTCTGGCTGCCAAGTCCCGGTGGATACACTACAAACACAAAGTAGCATTATGACTGAAGCAATCATTTTGAATTAATTGTAAACATTAATGAACAAAGTACACACACGCACGCACGCACACACACACACACACACACACACAGATACATAATCAATTTTTTTTTACTATGAAGATTTTAGGTTAATATTTACTGTATGTATGTGTAAAACAAAGTGTTTATGTTGTGTGCTGTAAATGTTTCTTGCATTCATTTGTTTTATTAATTCATTAATTAGATAAAAAATAAAAAATAA